GGGGATTTGCGTTGTTTCTTCATGTTGATGTGTAGGTAGGGGACTAGCTTTCTTGGTATGACTAAACTACCTGTGTCTGCTCACACTAAAAATTAGGCCACGCACACTTCTACCAAAATTTCAGAGGCCATGTCCCCACAGGAACCTGGTGTGTGTGTGTAGGGGGAGTAAAGGCTGGGTGGGGAAGAAGACCAGCACTGCTTTGGGGACAAAGAGGAAGAAGCAGAGGCTCAGGGCTGCTTTTGTCCCAGGCTCCGAGAGGACGCCTGGGGTGCTTGAAAGGAGAAAGCTAAGTCCTGGGTTTGAATACCAGCGGATAAACTGACCTGGGTGGGAAAGAAGACCAGCACCGCTTTGGGGACAAAGAGGAAGAGGCAGAAGCTCAGGGCTGCTTTTGTTCCAGGCTTGAGAGGATGCCTGGGGTACATGCAAAGAGAAAGCTAAGTCCCGGGTACGAATACCGGCGGAAAAACTGACCTGGGTGGGGAAGAAGACCAACACTGCTTTGGGGGCGAAGAGCACAGCGGTAGGGCATTTGCCTTGCATGCAGCCAACATGGCTGACTTGAGTTCGATTCTTCCGCCCCTCTCGGAGAGCCTGGCAAGTTACTGAGAGCATCTCGCCCTCACGGCAGAGCCTGGCAAGCTACTCGTGACGTACTTGATATGCCAAACACAGTAACAACAAGTCTCATGATGGAGTCGTTACTGGGCCCGCTCGAGCAAATTGATGAACAACAGGAGGACCGTGACCGTGATGCATAAAATAAATATATAAATATTTTAAAATTCATGTTTTTTTATAAAACACATACACAGGCCACATAAAAGACTAGTGCTTGTTCTTCTGCAAGAGAGTTGAGAGAATTAAAAAAGAAATTTTATGGCGGCTGGAGCGATAGAACAGCAGGTATGCTGTTTGTCTTGCACGCGGCCGACCCGGGTTCGATCCCTAGCATCCCATATGGTCTCCCAAGCACTGCCAGGAGTGATTTCTGGATGCATGAGCCAGGAGTAACCCCTGTGCATCTCCTGGTATGACCCAAAAAGCAAAAAAAAAAAAAAAAAGAAAGAAAGAAACTTTATTTCAGATGTGCTAACTAAACAGATTTATGAGATTTATGATAAATACTGAGAAAAAATGGGTTAAATAAGAAGCAAAAAGCAAAAAGCATTATAGGAATGAAAATGACTTAAAGATGAAAGTTCACACAAATAAGCTTAATTTACATTAACGGTATTTTTGCCTTACGATTGGGAAAGCATGAATTAAATTCAGGACTATATTTCCTTGAGTATAATACTCACCTGGCTCTTTCAGGGTCAAAAGAATGAGACCCGTTGTATTTACCGATTTTGGCATATTGAGTACCCCATGGAAGTGATCACACTTCATTCAAATGAGAGAAAGAATCCAGAGTTCTGACCTCCATCGATGGTCAAGAATCAGGGACGCTGTCTCATTTGCCAAGGCGTTGAAAATCAGATGGGCTGGACACGTAATGAGATTTGGAGACAACTGCTGGACTAGAGCTGTTACTGACTGGATTCCACGGATGTCAAAAGATCGCGTTGCTGCCCACCTACAGACTTCTTCGTCAAGACCCTGAATGATCGGTTTGAGGCTCTTTGTGTTCCTAAAATGAGCAAATGCCATTGGGTTATACTAGTACATGACAGGGATGAATGGAGACATTACTGGTGCTTGCTCGAGCAAATTAATGAATAATGGGATATCAAGAGATCAAGTGATTAATACTCTCCGATCATATTCTTTCTACCATCTTCAGTTATTTTGGTCTCATTCTCCTTTATAATCAAGAGCAGAGTCAAATTCATCCAACTATTTAGTACGTCCTTAAAATGTGTTGAATGTGTACTTAACATAACTCTTTTATCATTGCCCAGCTCAAAGGCAGTTACTAGTCACAGAAACAAGTTCTGAGTACACTTGACATTATGATCTCAGTCCTTATGTCTGAATTTTCAGCTTTTTACAGATATGTCTAAATATTAATGCTCTAGAAACTAGGAACTGATTCCCACAGAGAGTTCACTGGAAGTGCCCAAAATGTTGGAGGTGACATAAAGTACCCAGTAAGATCAGGAGTCACTGGTAAAATCTACATGAACACCTGAATGACATCTCATTAAAGCAGTTGTCAGACAGTGACTGAAGCCCATTTCATTTGCTTAAGAACACTGGACCCTTCATCCATAATCTTGGGAAGTTCAGATTCTCAGTTCAGATATTGTTCTGTTCATTAAAAAAATCAGTTGTAAGCTAACTGGTTCAGGATATTTTTGTTTTTGTCTAAGAAAATGTTTATGAAGAAGACAGATAATGACGTAAATAGTTTTATTAAGAAAAGATACTCATTCCGTGAAGAACGTGGACTGCCTGTGTGTGAGTGTGAGCGTGTGTGTGTATGTGTGTGTTTGAGAGAGAAAGAGAGAGGGAGAAAAGGAAGGAAGAAGGAAGGAAGGTAGGATAGAAGGAAGAAAGAAGGAAGGGAGGGAGGAAAGGAAGGAGGAAGGAAAGGAGGGAAGGTTTGAAAAAGGGAGGAAGGGGGGAGGGAGAGAGGAAGGAATGGAGGAAGGAAGGAAGGAAGGAAGGAAGGAAGGAAGGAAGGAAGGAAGGAAAGAAGGGAGGGAGGGAGGAAGGAAGGAAGGAAGGAAGGAAGGAAGGAAGGAAGGAAGGAAAGAAGGGAGGAAGGAAAGAAGGGAGGGAGGGAGGAAGGAAGGAAGGAAGGAAGGAAGGAAGGAAGGAAGGAAGGAAGGAAACTTCAAATTCTAAAACTGGACACCAGCCATTCCAGAGTGGAGTGTTAATAGAGAGAAGATAAATTATGACCCCAATATCCTAATTTGGGGTGCTGGCAGAATATTTCCTCAAACATATACATTTTAATATATAATAAATGGAGGGGACACTGTGGTTAGGCACTGTGGGAAGGGGAGTAAACAGAGGAAGCTGAGGCTTTTTAACTCCAAAGATCCTAGGTGTCTTCTCGCCCTCTTGCCACTAAAATGTGGGCTGTCTTCCTAGGTCATGGACATACAGGCCTACACACACACACACACAGAGGAATACACCACCACAAACAACACTATGACTTCACCCAAGAACAAATTCTTATTAGAGGTATTAAACACTAAAACCTTAAGAGGAAGAAATTGGTTTTTCAACTGCCACTTAATTTACAAGATAACACTTTCTTCAGTCATTAGTCAAGTTTTTATTATGCAGAAAATTCACACTATTCCCATCTCTTTTTTCTCTCTATTCTAGTTTTTACTTTTGGGGTAGGTGCCATGAATAAGAAAAGGTGCTATTGTGGGGCCAAATACTCAGAGTTGTGTTTTAATAGATACTTTGCTATTGTTATTCTATTACAGAGTAGATTAACTCTGAGTGTCAGCTTTACACAAGATTTCTAACTAGGGCAAATGAGAACCATTGGATTAATATATTTTTTAATTTTTTAATTTATTTTTTAAATTTTTATTTATCAAATCACCATGAGAAAAGTTACAAATCTTTCAGGTTTGAGTCTCGGTCATACAATGGTCAAAAACCCATCCTTCACCAGTGTATATTTTCCACCACCAAGATCCCCAATATAACCTCCACCCCATCCCTCCCCATGCCTGTGAGGCAGATGATTTCCACTTAACTCTTGCTTTCCTTTGATTACATTCATTATTTTGACAAAAGATGCACCATTATTATTTGAAATTTTCCCCCAATAAGCAGACCTGCTGAAAAGGCATTGTGAAATAATTTGTTTTCTACTGCTGGTTATGAAGACCACATGATGTCACACAGTCTTGATTTCTGATACTTTATTAAGTCTGGAGGGATTTCTGCCAAAAGCCACATAGTTCTGAGATTGGTGCCTTTGGGTCCATGGCGTGCCAGAGAGCCACTCATGGAGGGCAATTCATGGTCTCCGCGAGGCGGGAAGGATGTGCCAGTTCTCCCCCCATTCCATGAGGCCACAGTTGCCCTGTCACCACCGGCTCATTCCTGGCTGTCCAATAACCTCTGAGGGGCGGCCACTGTGCTGCTGAGGTAGGGGAAAGGCGAAAGAGACAGACACTCTTTCCCTGTGGTGGGGGAGGCTCTGTGCTGTAGCTTAATGCACAGTCTGTTCACATTTCTGCCGAAAGCTGCTGGGTTCCGAATTAGGTCCTTGTGCCTCTGGGACAATGGGTGTGCCAAAGAGCCACTCGTGGAGGGCAACTCGTGGTCTCGGTGGGGCGAGAAGGACCCCATTAGATTAATCTTTACCCAGTTTAAAATATGTAATTGATGGCCTGTCAGACAATAGCAAGTACACTTATTCTGGCAAGAGACTTTTTTTTCTGAATCATGATTAATTTTCATTAAGTCTTACACAAAGAAATAAAAAAATAAAGCTGGATGAAATGGAAAATTACACAAAATCTTAGAAAATTCAGCCAGCATGATCATCCCAGATTTGTGACATATTCATTAATTATGAAGAATGTTCCATTCTTAATGAAATCTTACAAAAAATCTTGAACACGTGGTGATATATTGAGTTGAGGCTAAAATTGGCCAAAGAAGAGCTAAATGTCAAATTATAATTTTTGCTAAATCACTCAGGCCATCTGAACTTTGCTGTTTACTTACTTTAATGAGCATAATAGGCGCAATTAGAGTCTGCTTTCTTCATGGTGGCAGACACTATGTTCTGTCACCAAATTATGTCCCTTTTTTCCTTTTCACAGCTCACATCTTACTTTTGTACTATATTCTCTCCTCCAGGACTAGCAGCCATTTAATAAATGTAGGTTGGAATAAGTAAATTTCACTGATGATTATATAAAGAGAAAATAATTTTGAGCACAAAGTCTAAATATCTCAGGAGGAGATCTGGGCTCATTTTCATTGAAAGCAGAATGAAATGGGGAAAGACAAACTTTGGCCCTGGGCTTCTCCCTGATGCTGTTTTCTTTTTTTCTCCCTCACAGGGAAATGATGCTGATATGGTGGATAAAAACAAGTGCTGCACACTGTGTAACATGTCTTTTACCTCAGCTGTGGTGGCTGACTCACATTATCAAGGCAAAATCCATGCGAAAAGGTTAAAGCTGCTGCTAGGAGAGAAAACCCCATTGAAGACCACAGGTATGTGTGTGAACAGGATCTCAGGGGGACTTAAGGCACAGCATTGTGCTGACTTCACTGGCATTCCCACAAGAGAGGCAGGTGTCAGAGGAGGAGCTGAGCTGTGGGTACTAATTGGAGACAGCCATCAGAATCTGAAGGGGCGGGTAGTTTGACCAACAGATGCTACTGTTGATCATGAAATCCAACTTCATGTGTTTATTCTCTCCACATGGTTTCTTGATATAAGTAATTCAGGAACTTTTATCTTCTGAAAGACTCTGTTTATTGGCCAGATGTTTTTCTATCGTGTTTATTGCATATTATGTATTATATAAGATACTATGTCTACTTTATGATGAACATGATTCTTCTCTAGCTTGTTTTCAAGCCCAAGTTACTCAAGAGTAATGGAAAGCACATTGCATGTGATAAGTAGATTACTTACCTATGGATTTATCATGCACAATATAAGGATAATTATATAAGACAATATATTATATATTATTATACTTATATAAGCTATAATTCTTATCGCTGAGAGGTCAGAGAGGAGGAAAAGCACAGTCTTTCAATATATTTTTGTTTGTAAACAATCTAATTCTGTTTCTGATATAGCATTTGTGTGTTCTTCATAAAAGTGCCGTCATAAGCCTGTTTAGCTTCTTAGTAAAAAATAAAATAATTATAATATTTCATTTGACCTTCTAATTAAAAATATTCTAAAGAAGTCCATAAAATAATGAAGTTAAAACACTATTAATTAATCAGGATAGATGATTTCAACAGGTTTACATTTTGGAGGGACAAAGAAATTATTAGTATTGCATTCCCAAGAAGCTGCAGGTATATTATATGGTGTGTACTCTTTCAACACTGTTCAACTTTAGCAGTGTATTTTGTCTTGCTGTCTAATGAATCATGCATAAAATGTGGGTGTAATTATTTTTTTAATGGTATTTTGGAAATTGAAGAAAGCCTACCACAATACTTGACTTTTATCCTCACCAGTACTTTTCTTTTAAAAAATATCTTTTACGTGGAAAATGGCAAGTAATTCTTTTACTCTAATTTTCTACTTAGTTTAGAGAATGTTGTTTTTATGAAGGTAACTATGACATTCAGGCATAGGATGGGGTTGCAATACACACGAAATCTGGAGACAAACCCAGCTTGTTTGAGGAACTCTGTATGTATTGACATTTGATAGGCAGTGACCCTGTTCAAACTCCTGATTCTTGCTCCCTCAAAGTTTGGAATTTCACCTTGTAACCTATTCTCCATCAAATATCTTAAAATAGTACTTCAAGAAGCAGTCACTGGAACATTTTACCTATTTTCTGTGATGAGTAAACCGGTCCATTTTTCTCTCTGCCTAAGCAATATTGCTATTAAATTTAATTTGGGGGTATAGTGATGGAAGTGGAGAGCCAGTCACTGTTTATCAAAGAAATTATCAACTAGGAAAGGCATTATTTCTGGAGGATGAAAAAGCACCACATGGAAAATAATAATTTGTGAATTATTACTCACAAATAATAGTTCTTTGTGAATTCAGATATATTCTGAAGATAACCATCTGGCAGTTTCTCTGAATTCAAATATCCTCAGATTTAGGAAATGCCTTGAACATGAGTTTTTTAATTACATCCATATATTTCACAGGAAAAAATCAAAAACACCTAAACCGTATGCTTTACTTAATGACTTTATCTATGCTGTCTTTTGAAATACCCCTGTTTTTACTGTGCCAAAAATTAGGTCACTGGTTAAGTGGAGAGGGAAGAAGAAGAGGGGAAATAGTACTAACAGCTTTTGACTTGGGCAGAAGAAATCATGTTGAAGTTTCACTGTACCAGCATTCCTTAATGCAGGGATCCAGGTTACACACTATCTTTGGTGTTTCTCTTCTTTGAGAGCTACTTTCAGCAGAAAAGATCTCAGATTGCAGCAACACCAGGCAAATAAATGTACCCTGGTTCCTGGGCATCAAAGTCATGCTGGCACATGCCTGACAGAGACCAGAGAAAGCAATATATCCAGCTCGAGTGAATATTGGATGCAAGAATCAGCAGAAAGGCATGTGGAAATGTAGCATGAGAGAGAGAGAGAGAGAGAGAGAGAGAGAGAGAGAGAGAGAGAGAGAGAGAGCTCTAATCCTGAGAGTCTAGGAGCAGAGAACATCACAGAGACTCAAGCAAGTTGGGAAACTTGAATTTCTGAGAGGTGATGACAGGGCCCTGACTTCAATTTTGAGGATCTGAAGAAATAAAAGTTTGTTAACAGAATAGTAGGGACCATCATTTAAGACAGTAGCACTGTTCTACAAGCAAAGTATAAAGATCAAATTCCCAGACCTAGAATTTTAGGTTTAGCCTTACTCTCAAGCCCAGATTAAATTACCACAAGTACAGAATGACTGAGGAATTGAGTGGCAACAGCAAAGAATACCCAATCTGGGTCATCCAGAACTGCAAAATACAAGCACTCAGGATCCTTTGAATAAACTCAGGATTCCTGCCATTTTTCCCTGTTGCGGAGAGCCAAGTCCAATAGCAGACCCTAATGCACTTCACCTTCTACACTGTGATGACCTGTTTTCTTCCTGGAACCGCTCTGCCTAATCAACCAGGTTGATTTGAAATTACTTTTGTAATGAAAACACAAAGAAAAAAAAAGAACATTTAAAAAGCAACCAACTGAATCAAGATGCAAAAGAGAAGCAATTCCCTTGTTCAGGTATGCTTCTAAGCTGCCCCTCCCCGAGGAGCAGACTCTTTAACTGTAGTGATTTCTGGATACAAATAATTGAAGCACAACTCATTGCTTCTGTTAGCTACTCCATCTGATGAGGGTGAGCGATTGGTGTCTGTGAATGATTACCTTTCCTCCTGCTCAAGATTCATTCTGATCAAGAATCAACTGAGTATCTGTAGGAATTAGTTGTTGTTGAAATTGCCTTTTCCAGATGAGTACACAGTTACTGGAATTTTTGAAATGCCATGCAGAGTTGCAAGGAAAAAAAAGAAAGAAATATAAGTTCCAGTTCATCATGGTTAGTGCGTTTCAGGATCTAATTCATGTTCTCATAGTTCATGCTATATGATTCCAGTGAGGAGAATTCTAACACTCACACTTTCTCACAGAGTCAGCAGATCTCTGTGTGGAGATATTTCCCAGGTTGGAGGTTAGATTTAAGTTCCCATTATCATGTTATTTGCTGCACTGTGTGAACATGTAGAGGAGATAAAGAGAGTAACTTTGGCAAAATCAATACACACCATAAAAATTATATTCTTGGAGGAAGAATAAATGAAGCAGGGATTATTTGTATGAAAAAAGAGATCACTCGGGTAAAATTGTCACAAGAAAGGGATTAATAATGTGCATACACGTGTGCTTCAATGAAACAGACACAGCTGAGTGAGTAGACATTTGGGAGTTCATCTGAGATCTTGATAAGGAAAAGATTAACTGTCAGACATATTAGATTTCTATAATGTAAACAAAAGGTAAATCCATTAAAAATGGGGAGGTGCTATGTTGCTTGCCTTGCAGCCACTAACCCCAGTTCTAACGCAGCATCTGCATATTGTCCACAAACTTCAGAAGTTACCTATAAGTACAGAGCAAGGAGAAGCTCCTGAGCAATGCTAGATATGGTCCCCAAAACAAAAAACTATCAAAAAACCCCCAAATCTATCAAATTAATATTTGAGAGAGTGTCCTTCTCTTCAGTTGCCACCCCACCCCTACTGCCATGAATATCACCTGCTTGAATTCATTTTAGACTCACTGTGGGCTTTGAGATAGAAAGAGTGAGACCTTACTATCTTTGCTAGCACTTACTAGCAAAGTTCTTTATTTGCCTGAACCTCCCTTACCAATATTTATGAGTGACTACCATTTCTTACATAAGTGTCTTTTCATGATTATTGAATGTGCTGACTAATAATTTTGAAGCATTTATAATGATACCACATAGTTGGAGCTCAATAAGTATCCCATCTATATACTAAGTTATGAAGCTATTTTTTTTTAATTTTTAAATTTTTATTAGTGAAACACCATGAGATACAGTTGTAGACTTACAAATTTTTGTGCTTGGTTTTCAGTTATACAATGATCAATACCATCCCTCCACCAGTGCCCATTTTCCACCACCATGGGTCCCAGTATCGCTCCCACCTCCCATCCCCCCCATCCCACCCTGCCTCTGGGGCAGGGCATTCCCTTTTGTTCTCTCTCTCGTTTTGGGTGTTGTGGTTTGCAAATTAGGCAATGGATGACAATCATGTTTGGTCTATAGTCTACTTTCAGTGTGCTTCTCCCATCCTGGGAGGATCTTCCCAACATTATTTATTTGGTGCTCCCTTCTCTATCTGAGCTCCCTTTTCCCCTAGCATGTGTGGCTGGCCTCCAAGCCATGGAGCAAAATTCCTGGTACTAATCCCGGCCACTCTTGGGCATTAGTATGAAGCTATTTTTTCTTCACCTACTTTGATCTCTCTTACATATAATTTTAAACTTAGAAAATGTTGTCTCTTATCCATTACTGCCTCTATCAAGTAAGTATATTTCATTAATTGAGTGTACTTCACTAAGTGTACTTATTCCTTCTTGCAGAAGAGACATGTCTACTTATTAGTAATGTATTCTTCTGCATTCACCTATAAGGCTTGACAGCTTTTTTTTCATGTGAAAGGGAGTCACAACAATATAATCTGATATTTACTTCTCCCTTGAAGATAAGCACTAGTGTACAAGTATGGGCTAAAGAATAAAAAAAATAATTAAAAACAGACACAGGTATCTGCCAAATGAGATGTGTCTGGGCAGAGAAAGGTTCTGGGTAGGCTCTCACAGCTACAAGAGGGAGATCTTATTTGAGCAAGCTTGAGTGGAAGGAAGAGAGAAATGGACCAGGTGTCCCCAAAGGAAAATAATTAAGGCTGTGTTTGCATGCTGGGCAATTTTGTGAATCTATGACAGGAAGATCCATAAAAAGAGATTGTCTGGAT